TGGCGTCACTGTAGTCATGTGATCTCGATGACGCAACAGTATTACATATAAATCAACTAAACTAGGGCTGTTTTGTTCATTTAACTTTAAGATAGCTTCCTATATTTTGGGTTTGTTGATGTTTGGTTCTTTGTTTAGAATTACAGTGTTTTCTACAGATATACAATGGTTTTTGAATTGCAACGGTGGTAAATTGCAATCTGGTTTCTCTGATGTATAATTCTGGACAGTTATTGCACAGTATTTGATAAATGATGGTGTTGTGTGATTCCATATAGTTTTAATTTATGGCTAGAGTTTTTGAGTGAATTTTAAGTGAACAGGAATTTTATGTTTAATGGCAAGTTTCGATTATTTTTTAACTGATTTCAGGGATAAATAGTAAACTAAAGTGTAGTGTTGTGTTCTTGTTTGGTGTATTAGTGTCAATTTTGTTTGTGAGTTGAGTTGAGGTTTTTGTTCTGGTGGTTGTATGGAATTTTTTGACAATAATTATGTTAGATATCTGCTTGTTTATTTGTTTCCGGTAGAACTTCTTTCCGAGGGTCTTCAGCAATACAAATCCTTTCTTGATTAAACCAGTTTATTCTTCCTCGATACAAACATTCAGTACACAGTAGTCCCACAATCAGTATGTTCCTCGTTCCTTAAAACTTAACGACTTTTATAAACACACCCTATAATCACAGCGATTCACAATCTCGATAATTTCGCTCTCAACGAGTGCAAAACACACACTTTACTGCTCTCTAGCTCGAAACTAACAGAATCATAAATTACACGGAACTCAAAGTAACTACTGCTCTCTCTTCATTCATATATCCCTTTGGCTTTCTCTGCCAAGCTTATATACTAACGAAGAGGGCATCTCCAACAAACTCGATCATTCCAGAAACTCATCACCCATGCCAGCAGCGTCACGTGACTTCCGCTGTCGTAACACTGCCCCTTCCTTAGTATTGTTCGTCCCGAACAATAGCCACTTACATTAAACCAATAGATAATTAAAAATAACTTAATTAAATGTACAGAATTTACCAACACAAAATTAAAATAAAACAAAGTCTTAATTTTACAGGACGTTTCTTCTTTCGTACTGGTCTCCGTCTCATTGGCTTTTGCTTCACATGGGATTCATCTGCTCCATCATGAAATGTTCCGTTATTGGTAGCAGTCCCATTAGTGGTAGTAACTTCATTAATGGCTTCACTATTTTCCCTCTCAAAACTGGGTAAAGTTTTACCTCAACAGTGGCTTTTTCAGGTGAAACGTCTTCAGCAGCATCATTTATTCCATTGTTCATTTTGTTCCAACTGAAATGTCCTGGATAGTCATAATGCCAAAGCCTGTTGGCATGCACCACCTTTGGCTTACTTCGCCGACCGTATTTTATTCAGAAAGTCACATCTGAGAGACGATCCACAATGTCATATGC